GTTTCTTACTGGTGTTGTTGTGTTTCCACGCTGGCTACAATGGAACCGCCAACCTTTACAGTACTTATTGTTTGATTTATTACTGGTGTTGTGTTTCCACGCTGCCTACAATGGATCCGGCAACTTTTACAGTACTTATTGTTTAGATTCTTACTGGTGTTGTTATGATTCCACGCTGACTACAATGGATTCGCTAACGTTGAGAGTACTTATTGTTTGATTTCTTACTAGGGTTTTTGTGTTTCCACCTTGGCTACCATGGATTCGCCAATTTTCACAGTACTTATTGTTTGGTTTCTCACTTAGTGTTGGTGTGTTTCCACGCTGGCTACAATGAATCCGCCAACCTTTACAGTACCTATTGTTAGGTTTCTAACTGGTTTTGTTTGTTTCTTCGCTGCTTACAATGAATCCGTCAACTTTTACAGTACTTATTGTTTGGTTTCTTACTGGTGTTGTGTTTACACGCTGGCTACAATGAATCCGCCCACTTTTACAATACTTATTGTTTGATTCCTTACTGGTGCTGATGTGTTTCCTCGCTGGCTACAATTGATTCGCCAAATTTTATGTACTTATTTTTTGGTTTCCTACTGGCGTTGTTCTGTTTCCACGCTGGCTACAATTGATCCGCCAACTTTTTCAGTACTTATTGTTTGGATTCTATCTGGTGTTATTATGTTTCCACGCTGACTACAATGGATTCGTCAACTTTGATAGTACTTATTGTTTGATTTCTCACTGGGGTTTTTGTGTTTCCGCCTTGACTACAATGGATTCGCCAACTTCCACAGTACTTGTTGTTTGGTTTCTCATTGGTGTTGGTGTGTTTCCACGCTGGATACAATGAATCTGCCAACCTTTACAATACTTATTGTTTGATTCCTTACTGGTGTTGATGTGTTTCCACGCTGGCTACAATTGATCCGCCAACTTTTTCAGTACTTATTGTTTGGATTCTTACTGGTGTTGTTATGGTTCCACACTGGCTACAATGGATCCACCAACCTTTACAGTACCTATTGTTAGGTTTTTTACTGGTGTTGTTATGTTTACACGCAGCCTACAATGGATCAGCCAACTTTTACAGTACTTATTGTTTGGTTTCTCACTGCTGTTGGGGTGTTTCCACCGTTAGCTACAATGGATCCACCAACTTCTACAGTACTTATTGTATAATTTCTCACTGGCATTGGTGTGTTTCCACGCTGTCTACAAGGGATGCGCCAACTTCTACAGTACCTATTGTTTGGATTCTTACTGGTATTTTTGTGTTTCCACGCTGCCTACAATGGATCCGCCAACTTTTACAGTACCTATTGTTATGTTTCATACTGTGTTTTTATGTTTCCCCGCTGCCTACAATGGATCCGCCAACTTTTACAATACTTATTGTTTGGTTTCTTACTGCTGTTGGTGTGTTTCCACGCTAGCTACAATGGATCCGCCAACTTTTACAGTAGTTATTGTTTAGTTTATCACTGGTATTGGTGTGTTTCCACGCTGGCTACAATGGATCCGCCAAATTTTACAGCACTTATTGTTTGGATTCTTACTGGTGTTGTTATGTTTCCACGCTGGCTACAATGGATCCGCCAACTTTTACAGTTATTTTTGTTTGATTTCTTACTGGTGTTGTTACGTTTCCAAGCTGTTTACAATGGATCCGCCAACTTTTACAGTACTTATTGTTTGATTTCTTACTGGTGTTGTTTTGTTTCAACGTGGCTACCATGGATCCCCTAACTTTTACAGTACTTATTGTTTGGTTTCTTACTGGTGCTGTTTTGTTTCCACGCTTGTTACAATGGATCTGCCAACTTTTACAGTACTTATTTTTTGGGTTCTTACTGGTGTTGTTGTGTGTCCACCCTGGCTACAATGGATCCGCCAACTTTTACAGTTTTTATTGATTGATTGGATTCTTACTGGCGTTGTTTTATTTCCACGCTGCTTACAATGGATCCGCCAATTTTACAGTACTTATTGTTTGGTTTCTTGCTGGTGTTGTTTTGTTTCCATGCTAGCTACAATGGATCCGCCAACTTTTACAGTACTTATCGTATGATTTCTTACTGGTGTTGTTTTGTTTCCACGTTGGCTACAATGGTTCCGCTAAATTTTACAATACTTTTATTCGGTTTCTTACTGATGTTGAGTTTCCACGCTTTTTACAATGGATCCGCCAACTTTAACAGTACTTATAGTTTGGTTTCTTACTTGTGTTTCTTACACGATGCCTACAATGGATCCGCCAACCTTTACAGTACCTATTGTTAGGTTTCTTACTGGTGTTGTTGTTTCCACGCTGTCTACAATGGATCCTTAAATTTTTCAGTACTTATTGTTAGATTTCTTACTGATGTTGTTATGTTTCCACGCTGCCTACAATAGATCCGCCAACATATACAGTACTTATTGTTTGGTTTCTTACTGGTGTTGGTGTGTTTCTACGCTGGCTACAATGGATTCGCCAACTTTTATGTACTTTTTTTTGGTTTCCTACTGGCGTTGTTGTGTTTCCACGCTGGCTACAATTGATCCGCCAACTTTTTCAGTACTTATTGTTTGAATTCTTACTGGTGTTGTTATGTTTCCACGCTGGCTACAATGGATCCGCCAACCTTTACAGTAGTTATTGTATGGTTTCTAACTGGTGTTGTTGTGTTTCCACGCTGGCTACAATGGATCCGTCAACCTTTACAGTACTTATTGTTTGAATTCTTACTGGTGTTGTTGTGTTTCCACCCTGGCTACAATGGATCCGTCAACCTTTACAGTACTTATTGTTTGATTTCTTACTGGTGTTGTTGTGTTTCTACGCTGGCTACAATGAATCCTCCAACTTTCACGGTAATTTTTGTTTGATTCCTTACTGGTGTTGATGTGTTTCCATGCTGGCTATAAGTGATCCGCCAACTTTTTCAGTACTTATTTTTTGGATTCTTACTGGTGTCGTTGTGTTTCCACGTTGGCTACAATGGAGCCGCCAACTTTAACAGTACTTTTTGTGTGATTTTTTTACTGGTGTTGTTACATTTCCAAGCTGTTTACAATGGATCCGCCAACTTTTACAGTACTTATTGTTTGATTTCTTGCTGGTGTTGTTTTGTTTCCACGCTGGCTAGAATGGATCCGCCAACTTTTACAGTTATTTTTGTTTGATTTCTTACTGGTGTTGTTACGTTTCCAAGCTGTTTACAATGGATCCGCCAACTTTTACAGTACTTATTGTTTGATTTCTTACTGGTGTTGTTTTGTTTCAACGTGGCTACCATGGATCCCCTAACTTTTACAGTACTTATTGTTTGGTTTCTTACTGGTGCTGTTTTGTTTCCACGCTTGTTACAATGGATCTGCCAACTTTTACAGTACTTATTTTTTGGGTTCTTACTGGTGTTGTTGTGTGTCCACCCTGGCTACAATGGATCCGCCAACTTTTACAGTTTTTATTGATTGATTGGATTCTTACTGGCGTTGTTTTATTTCCACGCTGCTTACAATGGATCCGCCAATTTTACAGTACTTATTGTTTGGTTTCTTGCTGGTGTTGTTTTGTTTCCATGCTAGCTACAATGGATCCGCCAACTTTTACAGTACTTATCGTATGATTTCTTACTGGTGTTGTTTTGTTTCCACGTTGGCTACAATGGTTCCGCTAAATTTTACAATACTTTTATTCGGTTTCTTACTGATGTTGAGTTTCCACGCTTTTTACAATGGATCCGCCAACTTTAACAGTACTTATAGTTTGGTTTCTTACTTGTGTTTCTTACACGATGCCTACAATGGATCCGCCAACCTTTACAGTACCTATTGTTAGGTTTCTTACTGGTGTTGTTGTTTCCACGCTGTCTACAATGGATCCTTAAATTTTTCAGTACTTATTGTTAGATTTCTTACTGATGTTGTTATGTTTCCACGCTGCCTACAATAGATCCGCCAACATATACAGTACTTATTGTTTGGTTTCTTACTGGTGTTGGTGTGTTTCTACGCTGGCTACAATGGATTCGCCAACTTTTATGTACTTTTTTTTTGGTTTCCTACTGGCGTTGTTGTGTTTCCACGCTGGCTACAATTGATCCGCCAACTTTTTCAGTACTTATTGTTTGAATTCTTACTGGTGTTGTTATGTTTCCACGCTGGCTACAATGGATCCGCCAACCTTTACAGTAGTTATTGTATGGTTTCTAACTGGTGTTGTTGTGTTTCCACGCTGGCTACAATGGATCCGTCAACCTTTACAGTACTTATTGTTTGAATTCTTACTGGTGTTGTTGTGTTTCCACCCTGGCTACAATGGATCCGTCAACCTTTACAGTACTTATTGTTTGATTTCTTACTGGTGTTGTTGTGTTTCCACGCTGGCTACAATGAATCCTCCAACTTTCACGGTAATTTTTGTTTGATTCCTTACTGGTGTTGATGTGTTTCCATGCTGGCTATAAGTGATCCGCCAACTTTTTCAGTACTTATTTTTTGGATTCTTACTGGTGTCGTTGTGTTTCCACGTTGGCTACAATGGAGCCGCCAACTTTAACAGTACTTTTTGTGTGATTTTTTACTGGTGTTGTTACATTTCCAAGCTGTTTACAATGGATCCGCCAACTTTTACAGTACTTATTGTTTGATTTCTTACTGGTGTTGTTTTGTTTCAACGTGGCTACAATGGAACCCCTAACCTTTACAGTACTTATTGTTTGGTTTCTTACTGGTGCTGTTTTGTTTCCAAGCTGGTTACAATGAATCTGCCAACTTTTACAGTACTTATTGTTTGGGTTCTTCCTGGTGTCGTTGTGTGTCCACCCTGGCTACAATGGATCCGCTAACTTTCACAGTTTTTATTGATTGATTGGTTTCTTACTGGTGTTGATTTGTTTCCACGCTGGCTACAATGAATAGTCAACTTTTACAGTACTTATTGTTTGGTTTCTTACTGGTATTTTTGTGTTTCCACGCTGGCTACAATGGATCTGCCCACTTTTACAGTACTTATTGTTTGGTTTCTTAGTTCAATGGCGATAATGCTCGCCTGCACGCGGGCGGCCCGGGTTCGATTCCCGGCCGAAGCATTTTTTTTTCTTACTATTTTTAAAACTCATTTATTTAAACTATATCAATTTTGAAAAAACTAAATGGATTGCAAAAAAATAATTAAATCAAATACCTAAACACTAAAATAATACAATTTTTGCCATTACTACCATTACATACTTTTCCTGTAGTTTTAGTTGTATGTGTTTCTTCTGTATTGCTATTCTATGGCACTTCTACTATTTATTATTGATGTAATTTCAGTATGAAGGATACTCCACTCGGGGGATTTCTTAGGCGAAGCCGGGTCATTCTTCTAGTTTATAAATATATAAAGGTCAGGTGTTGATATTAAATATAAAAAAGGCATATCCTGACCAGGAGCATATGTGCTTTACAGAAGGCAGAACGCAATCTAGTAGAACAGAAATCAACTAAACGTTGATGTAGCCTGTTCCCTGATATTTGGCCAACTCAATTTCTTGATAAATCAAAATCCATCCACGAACGCGTTTCGTGCGGTTGACGCTCGTCAGCGCAGGTGTAAGCTGTACCATTGAGACCCAAAGATCCCAGAGGCTTTTTAGAAACCAAGAAATGGGTATTTAAGGCCAAACTTGCTTAAATACGCTTTACACATGAAAAAAACGATAGGAAAAAATATATATAAAGGTCAGGTGTTGGTATTAAAAACGACGAGCACCAACAACGCGAAACCCGTTTGTGGATGGCTTTTCATGATTTATCAAGAAATTGAGTTGGCCAAATATCAGGGAACAGGCTAAATCAATGTTTAGGCATTTCTGTTCTACTAGATGACGCTCTGCCTTTTGTAAAGCGCATGTGCTCCTGGTCAGGATATGTCCTTTTTTATTTTTAATATTATTCATTGTTGTAAATATCATAAGCTAGGTTGCTCTTTTGAGCGGTACATAGTAAAGTTATTTTGAAAACTAACCGAAGGCTCTTTCTCTTGCACCAAGGTCTTTGACATTCTCTCTTACATCTACTGTCTTGGTTTCTGCTTTAAAATGAAATGAATATGTTTGTATGAAATGAATATGTTTGTATGAAATGAAAATGTTTAGTTTTATTGTTCTCAGATGTGCTTATGAGTATTTTTATTTGATAAACGGTTTTTCTAGAGATATTTTCAAAATTTAGAAAAATTATTGTCAAACATAGTTCTTGCAAATATTTTTTAAATGTAAGAGTAATGTTTTGAGGGAACAAGGTATTATCTTGAAGTTAGAGGATACCTAGTATATGTGTTTTAGTATTCATAATTCGAAAAAATCATGGACACTTCGGTAAGAAAAGGTTATTATTTTCTCAACGTTTCGACAAATTATCTTTAAATACATTTTGAAAATTCGAAACTATTATATACACGTATGATTCTTTCAAAAATTAAACAATATTGTGACAAAGTATTTATTTATTTTATTATTTTTATTAACAGAGTGGTCATTTTTATATTTATATCTTGCTTTTCTGTAAATTTCCCTCGTGGCTTATCTTTTGTTTACCATTCATAGTTTGTTCTTGCTTGAAATAAATTGTTGTCTCCTCCTGAAGTTTTTGTCTTCCCTAATTTTCAATGTGGCATTTTGGTGGAGATGCTGGATAAGTTAGGGAAGACAAACTGATGATCGGTGAAAATATCTAGAGGCCATGGGTGCTGTGATCTACATTTTCGGAGACTGGCTCCAGGATTCCACCGCTGTGTCAAAGCCAAGACTTACCTCCAAGATGAAGATGTCCCTATAGACGATACGACGACAAAGCCGTTCTTCACGCCGCAAGAAAAAGGACACAAAAGTACTAGGGACAAAGTTCCAAGACTTCGATAGAATCCTTGGCAGAATCACGTCAGATCCACGTCAGTATCTACAATAATTGCTAGCTCTGGGTCACAGCTCCCATAGGGAAGAAGCTATGTAACAAAGTATTTCTTAATTTTATTATTTTTATTAACCCAGTGGTAATTTTTATGTTTATATTTTGTTACTTTGCTACTCTGTAAATTTCCCTCGTGGCTTATCTTTTGTTTACCATTCATAGTTTATTCTTGCCTGAAATAAATTGTTGTCTCCTCCTGAAGTTTTTGTCTTCCCTAATCTTCCACGTGGCAAAATATACTGCTTTTACTGCAATGGAAAAATTAATGGGAGGGCCTTTCCATGCAGTAAGGACAGTAGAAATTGTTTATTTTTTTTAAATAATCATACGCGTCTATAATAGTATCGAATTTTTATAACATATGGCGCACTAATGCATCATAAGATAAATTTGTAAAGGCCTTGCAAAATGCTCTTTTTTTTTCCTGACGGAGACAATAGATTTAAGACAACTATCGAATTAAAAAGATGACCGACTTCTGTACAACGGAATTGTTTGAGATTCTTCGGTCATATCGCATGACGTAGGGGAATGGAGTACACCATACTGACCGGAAAGACGTCTGGGCGACACATACCTGGACGCCTTCCGACACGCTTCGTGAACTAATTAAAGGAACTTACTGGCTTAACGGTCACCGAGATGGTACATCGAGCTCAAGACAGAGATGGCTGGCGTCGTGTTTGGGATATAATACGTACAGTGGGCCACAACGTTCGATCGCGATTACAATGATTATGTGGCTGAACTTTGTTAACCTATTACATGGTTTGTTTCTTTTGCTTTAGATACCTAGAAAGAACAGTTGATATAAATACGTTTAATTAATGTCTTCACTGTGTTAATCTTCTTACTGAGAGGACAGAAGAATATAAAATGGGTATAATTAGGTTGGAAAGTCTTTCTTTAAAACACAGTTGCATTTTAATTATGTCGAGTTCGAATTTTAATTATGTTTATAAATGGAAAAGCTTTGTTAATTTATACTTCCAAAGTGGAACCCATTTTTCTGTGTGATAAATATTTAAACTGTTAAATAGTTAAATGTTCAACGTTCCCAAAAATTGTACGCGGAGTAATAAATGAATTACATTTGTCATGAAAAAAATAGGAGACCTTACATTTCAATACACCCTCGTATCTTCAACCAAATTTAAAATGGCTTAAATAGCTTGAAAAGCGTCTCTCTTCTTCTTCTTTCTTATCTCCACTCAATCATATTAGGGTATCAAGTTGTGACCCTTGATGGTGTCTGTTTGGCAACCATCATGACTGGGTGAAGTAGAATGCGTCTGCCTTTGTCATTAAGACTGGCAGCACTACTTAGTGGCAGGCCGACTTACCTACAAAAGAAATGGCCGCCTTTGACATGAGGAACAGACGCCATGTGCAGCCGCTCCTAACATAGAGCAAAAATGCTGCTCATCCTGTATCCCTGGATCAGGAGCCCTTACAGGCACTATCAGCCGGGCCAGCTGAGCCCAGGTTTTTTAGTGAGCTTGTTACTGCTCCCCTTCCTCCTTTTTTATCCAGGGCTTGGAACCGGCAAAGGAGGAGTTGCGTCTCTCTTAAAATACCATTTCTAAGATTCCACTCTTCAGTGTAGCATATATAAGCAGAATGATCCAATACAGTATTAGAGTTCTGAGAAGCGGTCTGGTATATTAAATTGGCGAATTCTCTGGGTGGGTTCATCACTGATGAGCCAAGTCTTCCCAATATTTTCATCGCAATAAGGACAGTAGATGTTTGTTTTATGTGTTAAAGAAACCTACGTACTTAAGGGTTTTTATTTTGAAATAAACTTTTAAGATAATGATTCTTGAAGCCATTTTTTGATTGATATGATATTCCACGATATAAACGGATTTTTGATATGAAGCGTGAAAAGTTTCAATATTTTAAGAGCATTGTGAAATATTAACAAAATGAAATGTGAAAAATAAATACAAAGAATGTACTACTATAGGTTATTGTTTTAAATTATAAATATATATTATATTAAAGATACAAAGGTCACCTCTCCCGTCAAAATGGACGTCAATCTATTGACCGTCGTCACAAACTAGCGGCCTCGGGTCGGTGACAAAGCCACAACATCAGCTTTGGCAAACTGAGAAGCGTCCACCTAGAGACCATGGTTTCGGGCTAATGGCCCTCGTCAGTCTAGGGCGGACTTTATTCCATGAGATCCACAAGGGATCTAATGGAATCTTGACAATCTGCCAAAGAGGTGTTTAGCTGGGAGAGTGGCTAGGCCAAATCTATGGCTAAAATATAGATGGAATTTTTCAAGATGAATATTGATCTAAATAGTGTCTAGTTTTGGCGTCTATTTTGACGGGAGAGGCGATCTTTGTCTCTTTAGATCAATATTGTAACAAAGTATTTATTATTTTATTAGCAGAGTATTATTTTTATGTTTATATTTTGCTTTACTCTGTAAACTTCCCTCTTTAGCTTATCTTTTGTTTATCACTCATAGTTTGTTCTTGCCTGAAATAAATTGCTGTCTCATCCCGAAGTTGGTATTCCCTAATTTTCCACGTGGCAATATTCTCCCGGCAAATTTTCCATCTATATATTAAATTGTGATAAGAGAGTTTGTTTGTAGTTATATTTGGATATATTATAATATCCACAAAGAATGCTCTAGTTCACTCTATAATAGGTTGGAGAGATACACTATGGTATAAAGATACAATTACACCATGATCTGGCTAGACCAAGGGTCGGCAAACTGCGGCTTACGAGCCACGGCTCTTTGGATATGAAGCTGCGGCTCTTTATATAGTTCCATACGAAAATATTATTTATGTGAATAGTATTTATTGTTGGGAATGAAAAAATAATTGTTGTGATGCATTAGCGCGCCATCTGTTACGAAAATTCGAAACTTTATTAAGACCACCGGTCTTATACAGATTCACCACAGGAAGAAAGGAATCATAGATAGAACTCCTGTACTCCAGGCAGCGCAGAACCCAACAATAGCCTCCAGGTCCGACGTATGTGTTGATAATTACACACACAAAACTTTATTAAGACCACCGGTCTTATACAGATTCACCACAGGAAGAAAGGAATCATAGATAGAACTCCTGTACTCTCGGCAGCGCAGAACCCAACAACAGCC